CACACACACACACACACACACACACACTGATGTCCCATTACATAATGCAGTGCTGTAACGCTCTCCACGTAGAAGGCAAGACATAACAAGTGTCGTTCTCGTTGAGCTTCCACGCTTACTCATTCTGCCACCTGGCCTCGGCACATGTCTGGGGGTGTGACCTGCAGTAACATGACAACGCCCCTGGAGGCTGCTCCGCATGCGACGCTGTTCCAGAGGACTCATGACCGTTCAGGGTTCTTTTCCAGCATCGTCTCGAATGATGTTATTTTCCGAATCGTTAAAAAGCGGAGAGAGAGCCTACATCTATAACGGGTCACATGACACCCTCCTCACTCGTTGAGGGAAAGCAAAGAGCGGACGGATGATTCTGGGAGAGTTGAACTGAATCTTCGTCACGTCTAGAGAAAATGTCTTTTATTTAATTTCACCACTTTTAAACAAACTTAAAAAGTTTTAGAAAAATCAATTTATCCGTTTTAAATTCTAACGTCAATATTTGTGAGTGTTTTGTAACATTTTAACCCTTAAGATCCCACCGTTAGTTAAATCTGTGTGTGTGTGTTACGAACCGATCCAGGTTGTAGAGGGTGTGTGACTTCCTGACGATGGTCTCCACTCCAAACTCCTGCGCCATCTTGATGATGGCCGCATCTCTCTCCTTCCCATAAGGCTCTGGGTCGTACTCAAAGGTTAACCTGGTCACGTTCCACTCCTGCAGCGAAAACAGAGGAGGACCAACAGAAACTTAGAGAGAGACAGATCCAAGCTCTAAATAACACTGTGGCCACACCAGGTCATTTGGGTTTTGTGTGTGTGTGTGAATGTGTGTGTAACTTGGGAGTTTATCTCCAGATGATTGGGTTTTAGGAGATGAGGGGTCAAAGGTCAACGTAAAACAAATATATGGTCCAAAACTTTTCAAGATATCTCTGTAAGCAGTAGATCTAGAGGGACAATGTAAAGTGAATCAGACATTCATTAAAAAACAAAGTGGTAAGATCATATGGTAGGAATGACATCATCATGACGTCACCTCGAAGTCAGAGCATGATTTCATATTGTGCTAATTCAGGTGAACCAATTATTCTTCGTTCTGTACGTCCATGATGACGTCATTATGAAATCCCATTATAACGATATCTAAAAGGTTCTTTGCCTGATCGAGGTTTTCACAGTGAAGCACTGTAGCATCACCCCCCACCGACACGTTTCACCTTAAATGCGGCGTTTGCACGCTGATGTGAACATTGATCACCATGGCAACGGTCTAAGCTTGAAAGCACTTTGAGCGAGTCACACAAAGCGTTGTGGATTCAACACGGTTCTCAGCACGTCTCCTCTGTGCAACAAAGTCAAACCAGGTCAAACGCAGACAACAGGACAGGAAAGCTCCCGTTACACAAGAGATCCCGTTGTTCTGTTGGAGTCGGACCCTGTCCTCGGGCTGAGCCATTCAACAGAGTTTGTCTCCAGGGTCGACGCAAAGGTAAAACTCCTCTGTGGTATCAGCTGCAGTACACTTGCTACCAGGTCAAAGCAAATAAAGATGGAACACAAAAAAACATTTAAGAGTTCACGTTCACCTGAAAAGTTTCATCCTGCATGAAATCAGTCGTAGCCTAAAACCTTGAACGTTACGTCACACAACGTTACCTGCGCCAGATTTTATTCCAATTAAACTAAGAAGGGCAAAGTTACAAAGGTGATCTCCAGATATTTGTCTTGGCTCAAGCTCTCACTATAAAACTCTTTTATTTTTACTTTTAAGTCAAAATACAACTTCATCACAGAATCTTTCTGCAGAACAAGACGTTTTACGCTGCTTCTGCTCGTTTACACCCATGTTCGTGATTTTAGATTAGTTTTGTTCTTTTCAGGAGACGCAACATTTTCACCTTCATCGTGTCTCTGTGATTTAGTTTAATGGCAGAAGAAGAGAGGAAACATGTCCCTGGGAAACGTTCAGACATTTACTTTTCATTTTACTTTTCATTTTACTCTTAGGTTATTATAAATATTCACTAATGCACAAATCTACAATGTTCATGTGCATGATCTCACGTGGTTGTGAGTTTACAGGGAGCATAGTCACAGAACACACACACACAGCGGGCTCTCACGCCGTCTCGTGTCTCAGAGTAAGTGGACACCGGTGGGTGGACCACCATTCTGCGTCCCTAAAGCTCTTTCCAGAGTCTAACCCTAACACCTCCGAGCACTTCACTTTCCCTGGAGATCAATAATAATAATCTAAGTATCTATCTAAAGAGATTCAATGAGCCTGTCACAGTTTTACTGTAAATTTATCACATATACCAACATTAATATTTTTAATGTAAACTTTTCAGACCCATTTTAAAACCATGTAGGTGACGTTGATTAAACTACATACACACTGAACGGAGTCCTTGTTAAATATCAGCAGCTGTATCAAGTGAACACAGCAGTTTTAACACCAAGTGATTTGTCTTGTGTAGTTTCTTTAGTCGGGGACCTTTGTGGTACCTGTGGTTAAAGTTTTGGACCGTGACGGACAGAGAGTTCAGGAATACAGACCTTAAAGAGCCTGGGGAACACGTCCGTGGGCTGCCCTCTGATTACAAACAATCTGGAGTTGAGCTTCTTCAGACTGTTGTCCAGGTCCTCCAGGGACTCCAGCAGAAACCTGCACACACATCAACGAGGGACACGTCATTGGTAAGAAATACAGCCTCTCTAAACGAGGCAGCGCCGCTGAGACGGTACTGACGGAGATTTACCTTCACAGACCCACTCCCTGTTTCTGCAGCTCACTGACACTGAACACCACAACACGTTCAAGTTTGAGCAAACAACTGAATGTCTGTTTATATCAAATGTTCAGCACAAAGGATGATGAGGGCGAAGAATCCTGTTTGAGAAGATGGGACCACTGACTTCAATTAAAGGTGGATGACATGGCAGCTTCCCAACAATCGATAATATCTGTCTCTTTCTTGTTGGACGTCCCAGAGTGAGACATCTCTAGATTAACGATCTAGATCTAGCTCGCTCCAGATAAGGCTACACTACTGGTGATCACCTCTTCCGCAGTACAGCGCAACAGCGGGACTGAGGAACTGATTTACTTTAAAACCGTGGTATCGGACGGTAAATACATTCATTGCATCAAAGAGGACGAGAGGGTCAAACCGCTTATTGATTCACAGGATCCATGATTGGACGTGAGTGGACTGAAGCACTCCGTCGACCCTAGAATTAAAAACACGGACCTGAGTGGATGTGATGTTGAATGTATCTACACTTCGTTCTCCTTGTTTTAATTGTTAGTAGTATTTTAGCTTCCAAACTGAGCGGCGTTAAGTGGGTGGAGTCAAAACCAGCATTTCACAGTGGGAGATACACGGAGGTGGGATGGTTGAAGTCCGGGAGGTTTTTCTTTCTACTCTGGGTTTGAAATCCTGAACCAACCTGACTACACCCTGACCTGGTTTACATCTCTGCTGTGACAAAGAAGAAAAACTAATTCACTCAGGTTCATGTTGAGATTCACTCAAACCAAAATATAGAGATTTAATAATATTCTAATTGCTCACACTCAAACATATCGGTCCCTTTGCTATGTTTCATAAACGACTCTCTGAGGAAATTAACAGAAATGTTTAAATCTTCCCGTGATAATGAGAGTCTGGATTCTTCTTGTAGCGTGAATCACATCCTTCCTCTAAATTTCATGGGAATCTGTTTCTGGCATTATGTCACGTGTGTCAGCCATGTTTGTGAATGAGTGTGTCCTTGTTGTCTTCATTGGATAAACAGTGTGATGACGATGAACTCGTGTTACTGACGTTAACTCCTGGATCTGTTTGTATTCAACCGTGAACCTCAATATTTACATCGTCACCAAACCTCATGACGTTATCGCTTCTTTTTCCTTTGCTTCCTGAATTTCTCCTGTTATCCAACACACACACACAGACACACACACACACACACACACACACGTGTGTTTCACTCCAGTACTCAAAACCAGTCCTCTGTTTAAAGTGTGTCGCGTTAACGCGCTGATTCGCGTGTTGTTAACACCGCGCAGCTCCTCTTTCTCTCCATTGTTCGGCTTGAATTTGAGATTTGACGGTTGTGTAACAGTTCCACACGGAAGCCGAACGCACCGGGGAGCGACCGAGATTCGACCACACGTGTTTCTTCTCCTTCCACGCGGAGATATTTCGCGAATCTCCACGTAAAAACACTAGATTGTTAGTTTCACCCACGGACGCTGGCTAATGCTAGCTTGCCCCTCGCAGTAAGCTAGCATTGTTAGCTGACGTGGAGCGGAGGCCCGGGCCTCGAGTACAAGCGACCCGGAGGGTTTGACTCGAACCCGCGGAGACAAGAGGAGCCGGTGTTCGCGACACGAGCTCTCACCGACGTGGGTTCGATTGCTGAGCTACGGTTAATTCACGAACCTCCATCGGTTGATTCCCACGTTGGCGGCGCCTGCGAACCACGGGTCCAGGATATAAACACAGCGCGCCGTGTCCGCTCCGCTCAGGGCCTCCTGCAGCGCCGGGTTGTCGTGCAGACGGAGACCTTTGCGGAACCAGTGCACCGAGTTCACCGCCATGTCTCCCTCCTCCTCCTCCTCCTCCTCCTCAGTCCATCCCGGGACACAGACCCAGAGAGTTCCGCGGGAACGAGGCCGAACGAAGGCTCCGGTTCAAAGGGGGCTCGCGCGGTGCGGGATTTCTCCCGGGAAACTTCAGGAGGCTGTCAGACGGTGTCCACGCGGGGGCGGGGCTGGAGTCATGTGGGAGGGGCTCAACGGGCCCCGCAGCTCCTCCTCCTTGTTTTTTTTATTTAAAGGGTCAGTTCACCAGAATATTAAAGTCTAAAAACTCTCTGCTCCTCATTATGTCAGATGTTCCTGTGGTTTATAAAGAGTTTATCATTCACATGGAAAACCACGAGCTTCTCTCCAGAGAATCCATCTTTAAACGTTCAATAACAAATATGTATCGTGATAGTTATCGATATGGGCTGTACACAATTCATCTACCTCCAAAAATCCATCAATGAGCAAACTACAAATTAAACTCCATGTATTTTCAACTGCAAAATGTAAATTCCTTATTCAAGCCATCTGCAGCCAAACCTTTCCAAACAGATATAAAATGTTTTTAATAGTATTATTGACTATTTATACATGAACCCATATATTAACTGAACTGTATGTGATATATGATATAGCACTGTCATGTATAGTATTTTCTGATTATCTTAATTTGAATTAGATCATTAGAGTATTCTGGCCTCAGTCGGTTCGTACAGACATGTGTCACAAAGGGAGAGAGGAGTGTGTGACCAGAAGAATGACACACGTTAAAAAAACCGTCTTCACCTTGAACACAATTCAGTTTTCCTGGTTGTCTGTCAGCTGCTGCTATTTATCCATCAATGAGGTGAGAGTCCTTTAAAACCGGCCTCGGGCTCAGGAGGACATTGTGCCCGTGGACGACTCCTGTGCTGGTGAGAAATGGTTGATAGTTTTAACTCGTGATGTTCGTCGTCACCTGGATCAAATGTCGTCCTGTGCTTTGCCTCCACAGTTTGTTGGGGAGACGTTGCCGGGCAGAAATCCTGAACTGATCAACGCACTGAATTGAAAATGATGTAAGTGACGGACTGAGCATGACTAACATCCCCGGAGGACTCAGTTCTTTGTCTCGTTGAAAATGCTTCATCATGTTTGAAGTTTGTTTCTTTTAAATCCTCTTCTGGAAAAACAAGGAACAAGAGAAATTTGAGACAAATTATTCTACAATTTGAAGGTTAAAAAACAATCACCGTCCCTGTGCTCCATCAAGTGTTTTACATTTTAAATAAGCCTGAGACGATAATACAATTATTTCTCAAGAGCTTCATTTTTAAGAAATTAGATCATTTTATGTGCTATTGAGCTAAATTAAGTCTTGGATTAAAAGAATAAAAGTTTCCAAAATGTTTAAAACTGAAACTGTTTTGCAGGATGTTCTGGCTGTTGTGTCTGATGACTGGAAGCGTCACCTGTGCTCCTGTTAAAAAGGGTAACCTGACACATTCTGCTCTAATCTGCATTTGGCAGTTAAATTCGATTTTATAACATGTTTGCTCCTGCAGCAGCCGCAGACTCCAGGCCACAGGCAGCTGATTACCCTTATTGGGTGACATGGATGGGTCCTGACATGGGCAGCAGCAGCAGCGATGATGGCTTCATGATGCAAAGTCAACCCGACCCAAGCTTTGTTAAAGAGGCCCCTGCTCAAGATCCCTTTGGCAGTGCTGGTTTTTACACTGGGTATCCTTATGCAGCCTCTCCGTATGAAGCTGCTGCTCCAGCTGACAACTATGGCGGCGTATATGTTAACTACGCAGAAGAGGAGCCTGTCAAGACACAAGACGAAGACCCCAACGCTGAATCTGAAGCTGTGGCCCACTACTACGTTGAGGCTGCCGCTGCTGAGGCCCCTGAGCCGGTCTTCAGCGACGTGTCAGATCTGGAGCCAGTTTACTCCTTCAGCTCTCGTTCAAGATACAACCGAGGAAGAGCAGTGTTCTCTCAGACCCGCTACACCCCAGGAGAGCCTCCTCTTCCTCCTCCCATGCCACTGAGCAGAGTCCGGAGACCGTCAGCGCAAAGCCGCCCTGCTGACGCTCCAGCCAAGGGTGGGGTGTAAATATTCTGATCAGATGCTGCTCGCTCTGTAAATGTCTTAAACTTCTGGTCGTCCGTCTCCCTGCTGCCAACCTGACGCCAATAAAGTGACTTTTAAAAAAGATGTCTTGACCATTGTTCTGTCCTCATTTGTATAATTGGGTTCCAGGGTGGACGTGTTGTGTGTCTTAACTTCATGTGGATGCTGACGAGGAACATGATATTGTGTGTGAGCTGTTAGATTTAAGAGTTGTCATGAAAGCTGAGGTCACTGCAGAGGATTCGAGCTTCCAGACACGAGGCTCCTGCTCAGGCAGGTGAGCTATGGAACCCCACTGACCGTAGTTTAGCCCAGGGGCGACGCTTGCTGTCAAAAGAGGTGAAACACAATTGATCACTTGTGAAAAGAAACTCATTGGACTGTGAAGATGCTCTTGAAGTGGATATTTACACTGGAAGCCTTAAAATTGGCAATAAGCTCAAAGATTGAAGCTGAAAGAACCAGTGAAAACTTATTCTAGGTTTCTTGCAAGAAAGGTTTGAGCCCAGCTGACCGGTTGACGGTTCCAGTGTGCAGGTTCAAATACCACTTCTGACCACTGGTGAGTTTACGGAAGCAGGAGCCACACAGTCGGATATACACACAAAAAGTAATGACAGAATGAAGACACAAGAATAGAAGCAAAAGGAAACGATGGTCAAATCTAAATGCTTTTTTAAAAACTATTGACCAAAGCATTTGTCAATTAGGGTTTTTTTTTTATAGCCTCAAACTACGTAACCTGAAAATGTTATGGTTGCAATTACTGGTTTTAGTTCAGACCCATTAAACAGGAGCATGGTCTGCCTCCATGTTTCCACAGAGTAGATGGTTTGATTGTGTGTCTGAGGCGTTAATTTCACATCCAACAAAATATCTCCTGAGCTGAGTCGGTAAAAGGTGAAGGTAAGATAACTCTGGAAAATACCAGCAGGATGCAACTAAACATAGAACTTCACTAAGATAAAACCAAACAGGGAAAAGTGTCTCCACTAACACAATCTTTGATTATTTATACTTGGACACAAACACAGTTTTGGAGACGTCAAAACTCTTGTGTAATAAATTTGTTGCTGCAGTTTTAACTTCTTTAGTCTTGATTTTTTTCCTTCATCAGGCTCCATGGAAGTGAAACATCTGCTCTGCTCAAACACACGTGCTGCACATACGTTCAGTCATTAAGCCTCGATGCAGCGTCGCTCTGAGCGTTTCTCTGCATCAGGATCTAATATTGACAATACTGGGTGGAAATGTGTGTGTTGTGTGAAAGGACCATTAATTCTATTTAGTTCAACAGGTTTCCATTTTTAAAATTAGTGTAACGTGAGATAACGCCAAACGTATAGAGGTTTTATTTACACTCACATTTGTTGTCAAATGTTCAAACTGTATTAAATCAAGAGGAATGTAAGTCACTTATTTTTAAATTTAAAGCTTTTAATTTTATGTTTACCATCCGGAAAAACAAACGGGTCCAAACCCCACTGCCTCATACTGTTGAGCAAATAATCTCAAGAACCACAACAGCATCGTGTTGTGTAAAAAAAGTGAAGTGAACTCAGTCTAAGATTAGCAACAGCACAGGGCTGAGTGGGAGGCTGGGAAAACTCTTGAATTATAAAATCCTGTCCCTCATTTCTTTTTCAAATCCATGAACCTCCTTGCTGACCACTGTGCCACCGTGCAACGTGGTGCCTTAAATCAATAGTTGGATGAAATCACTGACAATCTATCGAGGAGAGAAGAGGTTACGAGGTTAATGAGTGGCTCCCTGGTGTTTACAGCTGTTACCACTGAGCAATCAGTCCCTGCTGCACTGCTGACGTATAAAAGCAGCTTTGAACTCATGATGATGTCACAGACACGTTCCTGTTTGGAAGCTGTTCACCTGCCAGCAGGTGAGCAAAGGTTGTTCTATTACTTCTAAAATCTGTTGGTATCATCACTGAAATGTTTCCCATGTTGTGTTTGTGCAGGGTCTTGGGCAGAAACCAGCTTGTAGCAGTGACACGTCAAGAATTTACTCCGCAGCAGAATGAAGTAAGTTAAATACCGTCTGAAAATATTAAGTTGGGAACACGTGATCTAAAACTGTGATGTTTCTACAGGATGATCTGGATTTCGTTTCTTCTCATTGGACATGTTATCTGTGGACCTGTGAGAAAAGGTAAGAACCTCTTTAATTATCAATATAACGTATTTCTGACAAACTTTATTCTGCTTTAAACTCAAATCTCATTTCTGTTCAGACTATAGATCAGATAGTGTCGACCCAAGATTCATGCAGCCGCCGTTCTCTGGGTTCTGGTACAGTGGCGTTGGGATGAATCCTGGCAGTGGTAGCAGCTCCCCTTTACCAAATCAACTCAACCCAAGCACTGCCAAAAAAGTTCCTGCTCAAGATGATGGCAGTTTCAGTGGCAGGCAAGATTTTTACAGCACCACCACCAACATGGATGAGACTGACCGTGGTAATGAAGAAGACAGTGGCCCTGAGGAAAGTCAATATTGGGGTTCTGTTGCAGCGTATGCTCCAGGTAACGATTATGGTGGTGAAGCTGCAGGAAGTGAGCCTGTCGTGAGTCAAGACCCCAACGCTGAAGCTGTGGCCCGTTACTACACTGAGGCTTCCGCTGCTAAGGCCCCTGAGCCGGTCTTCAGCGACGTGTCAGATCTGGAGCCAGTTTACTCCTTCAGCTCTCGTTCAAGATACAACCGAGGAAGAGCAGTGTTCTCTCAGACCCGCTACACCCCAGGAGAGCCTCCCTTTTTTCCTCTCATGCCTATGAGCAGAGTCCGGAGACCGTCAGTGCAAAGCCGGCCTGCTGACGCTCCAGCCAAGGGGGGCTTCTAAATCTGACACTGTCTCAGTATCTATGTTCTCTTACCTGCAGTCTATCAGGACACTTACTCTGTCTTTACCACAACATTCTCCATGTTGCTGTCTCACAGCTGACTTACGCTTGTCTTGACCTCTGTTTTTGCTGCACATGATCTGATATGAATAAATGATTTAAAGCTAAAGCTTCCTGCAGATTTTTTTTTTTTTTTGTAAAACTATTTATTGACTAGTTTAATTTAATTACTCATTGTTAAGGTGACAGTTCTAGTATTGTAAGTCGTTAAAACAAACATGACACTACATTGCCAGTTACACAGCCATGGGATTCATTAAATGTGCAAAGCTGTCAAAGAACTGGAGTCTGTCCTGTCGCCAGCAAAGTCTCTGGGATAATCGATATATCTCCACTACACCTAAACTTTAAATCTAGATGTAGTGGGTTTTGATCTGAACTTAGTCTGAGGTCTGAATCTAACTTTTCAGTTTCACGAATACAATTGACTTTGCAAAGGGAATGACCGAAATGTCTGAGTGTGAGGTGAATTATTGGCTTCGACACTCGGCCTCAATCACCTTATTCTTCTGTCAGCTGCCGGATGCCTACATCTCTAAGCACTATAACAGCAATCTCAAATATATATCATCAGCCAGATTTCTTCAATTTCATCTTTAAAACATTATTTTATAATCAATGTTATGTAAAAACTATTTTAAAAACACTCCAACACCCCCAAAAAACAGATGCACTAAAGTCTTTTTTTAATCTTCTTAGTATTTGTAAGAAGTATATTTTCACACTGCACATTTATTTCATCTTGTTGGAGTTTGTTTAGTTTCACTTCCTGCACATTCTCTCTATTCACCTGTATTGTAATATCTCCGCATTGTTAATAAAGTTGATTTAAAAAAAAAACGGGTCGTGTCCTCAGCCAATCACAGAACGATGAGCCGTGACGTGCAATTCCAGCGTCACTTCAGAAGCTAATGCTAGATGCTACATCCCACCCACAGTCTAACGAGGCTCATTTAATTGGATTTATTTAATTTTATATATTTTTGATAATTGCTGTAAACTCGTGGGAGACTGTGACGTTGTTTGTGTGATGGAGAAATGACTTCCGGGTTCCTCGCTGCGATAAATATCCTCACGAAGCCTCTGAACGGTGAGTAAACAAAGTGATGGAGGAAACTGAGCCTGAGAATCATGTAAAGTTTAAAATCAAACCTCAGACAAAGAGAGGGAGTGATTTTAAAAACGTTTTTAAATCAGATTTGATGGATTTAGATTTTTGACTAATTAAAACAGGCTTTAATAACAAAACTGAACATATCAACCTTGTTCACAAGATTTAGAGACAGAGGCAGATTATAACTGATGTGCATTAAAATCAAACTGTCGTCATCAGAGCATCACAAGGTTTATAGACTCTCAACACACATTTGTGAGGGTCAGAGGAAGGACTCCTGTTCTTAACTCCTCCTTAGGTTTGATGTTACTCTAGTAAGCTTCAATATAGGTTCTTAATTCTGGTTTAACACATAATATAACTATCAGTCACTAATTACGTTCAAGCTACTCCACAGTTAATGGAGTGTTGTGTCACTACAATTGATTTTTTACACATCCATGGTAGCAGCGAGGGATCAAACGATTCTGAAACTGAAATGGAAAGTGTGCTACAAATCTTCTTAATCTTGAATTGTGATACACGACGACAGGACGGTGTTACCTGAACCCAAACTTGCAAAACCAGGATATCAGTGATTTGATCCCCGGAGGATGAACCTCAAGTTGTCCCTGTGTGTGCGTGATGTGTGATAGAGACAGTCCTGCACAGATGTAGTCATACACAGCTAATTACTGTATGTGGTGCTCTTTGTGTCCGTAGAGGCGTCTGTGCGTGATGCTCAGTCCTCGCACCAGGAGGCGCTCCTGGCAGTACTGCGGGCCAACAGATCCCTTCTCCTGGAGCAGCTTCAGAGTGAGAGCAGCTTTGAGGAGGTGAAGAAGCTGCGGGAGGAGGTGATGTCGGCGGCAGAGTGGTTTTCCAGAGATACAGAAGATGCCACGTGGGGCTTCGTCCAGGAGTGTCTCCTGCTGCTCCTCACCCTGGCACGACACATTTCTAATGAACTCAAACTTTTCAATCAGAAAAGTTCCTCTGTGGCCAAAAATCAGACCCCTGAGTTTGCGCCACCTTTACCTCCTGATGTTCTCAGTGTCACCCAGCAGAAGACGCTCAGAGCGGCCCTTCAGTTTGTCGTCTCTCTGGGGCTCTGCCCCTACTTGGCCTCCGGAGTGGGTGTTCCGCTGAGTTGTCGCTCAGCGTTTGGAGCCATGGTGGACAAACTCGTCCGTGGTGGAGTGGTGTCAGCAGGGGGACGCCGTCTTCTAACCACCACAAGTGTCCTGCTGCAGTTGGCAGAGCTGTCGTCTTTGGCCACACTGGTGTTCACACAGCATCTGGGGGATGTGATGGCGGCGCTGTGCCAGCTCGGCTACCAGCCACACCGGGTGGAGAGAGGGGGCACGGAGGAGGAGGAGGTAACACATCTGGACATGGGATTGTGGCTGCTCTTGTGGAAGAATAATGATTTTGATGCATGCAGCTTCTTGTTTGTCTTCTTTTTAGATGCAGGAGCTCAGTGCTGAGGAACGTCGGACCTGCAGGGAGGCTCTGAAAAGCCTTTTAGGAAAAGTCTACCAGCCGATCGTTATCAAGCAGCTGCTGATCCTCCAAGGTGGACCCAGACAGGTATGCATGTGTGTGTACGGTGGAGGGTCAGGGTTAGTGCTCATAATAGAAGTTAGTGCACTACATTGTTTCTGCCCCTTAAATGTTATTGCCTAAATTAGTATTGAGTTTTTGGCTGATGTCTCCTGTGCACCCTTCCAGTCTGGTGCAGCAGGAAGCTCCAGCGGTTCAGGCAGCAGAGCAGCTCTGGGATCAGCTCCGGCCTGGCTGAGGCGTCTGTGTGGTCAGCTGCTGTCCGAGCGCCTGATGCAGCCCAGCGGTGTCCAGGCTGTCGTCAGAGCTATCCTGGAGGGAGGAACCGGTGAGTTAACGTTTAGAACCCCCCCCCACACATTGGAACTGATCACAGACAGATTCAGTCTGTAGCTTTATTCAAGTTCCATATTGAAGCTTTTCTTTCTGTAAAAGCGTTTTTATAGAACGGAACTCTTTATTTGTTGTATCCAGACCAAACTGTTTCTGTCCTCCAGGGGGCGAGTCAGACTGGAGGAAGTGTGACGGAGTGGCCAGGATCTTGGTGGCCTGCCCTCAACAATCTACCTCAGCAGATAGTTACTATAGACAAGTCTGTCCTCAGGTCAGCTACACACACACACACACACACTTATCTCAGTCTGTTTACACTCTGATGTGAATACGAGCGTGAACATGCGATCATTCTGAATATAAGGTTGCATTGATTTGTGCAGTAATTCTGCTGTTAATCCACAGTCTTGTTTCCCAGTCGTCTGATTGACTCGTCGTTCTGTTGCAGATCCTCGAGCTCCTGCACTTCAGAGACAAGCTGGCAGCACAACAGTTTCAGCGTGTGGCCACCAGGGCGGCACTCTCCATGGTGCAGGAGAAGCCCAGCTTTGCTCGTCCGTACCTGCTCACCCCCCTGCTTCAACCTCTTCACCGCTGCAACTCTGCTTCCAGTCAGTTCACTCACTATTACACATCGATATGTGTCAGATGTTAAATTAAAATCTAGATGTGTTTCAGGTCAGAGGAGATTTAACTGCCTCGGTGGGTTGTGGGTAAATCCTGAGTGTGAACAGGATGTGTAACCTCGATAGGAAGCATCCTGATCATGAATCCGAAGCACGGAGGCTGCGGCAGCTTGACATCGAGATCTCATACCTTCTGTCACAGCTCAAAGTTGAATTTCTATCAGGCAGTTATTGTTGTTTATATCATCAGCAGGACAAGTGTCAGGTCCCAGCAGCTCTGAACTCTGTGTGTGTTTGTGTGTTTGCAGACGAGAGTCGAGACCGTGCTGCTGTGGAGGAGTGGGAGCTGACACGTTGTGTGGAAGATGTGTACAAGGTGAGGAACCACAAAGGCAAACAACAGTGTTGTACCTGGAAGTTACAGGATCCGTATCATCTCACTTCCCCTCCCAGTGTTTTCATTGTGTTTGCTCTTGTGTCTCTTGTTGCTGTCAGATCTGGGTGGTTGGAAACAGTCCATCAGCTTCTCTTCTCAAGGCTCTGGAGGAAGTTCTTCCAGTTATCTTCACGCTTTTCTGTTTCACCAAGCAGAACGTCTCACACCTCCGGTAACGTTTTCTCTGCTCGTCTCGTTATTCCACAACTGGAAAAATAATGAAACACCCATCACTGAAAGAAGAATGTTGAAGGACAGTAATGAAGATGGAAATGGAGCGGAAGATATGAAGTTCTATAGATTCAAAGTATCTTCAAAACCAAACCATACTCTTACCTCAACTGATAATTCTACTTGTGTGTTTAAAAACATGAAATACTTAGAACGTGCAGTGAGCTGACAGGAGCACATGATTACAAATCAGACCTGAAGTAGGGCACTGATACTGAGTGTTTGCTTTGTCCCACAGCGCCACCTGCCAGGACATTTTGTTGTGGTACCTGAGCCACACTGAGGCGTCTGAAGCCCTGTCCACTCTGAGGCAGCTCTCGGGTCTGCAGGGACAGAAAAACGAGACAAGCGACTTCTACTTCGCCCCAGGAAGTGACGGAGGAGCCAGGTTCGACTCAAGAGACAACTGCAGGTGAATGACGGAGGACGGACAAAGCTGCGTCTTGTGTGTGTTGCTTGCAAGATAAACGTGACGAATAATTTCCCATCAGCTGCGTTAAAAGAGCTTCATGTGTCGTGTGATGACGTCAGTGTAACGTCTCTTCTCCACTCCTGTCTCAGTGATGAGGACGACGCTCTGTATGAGAAGCTGTCAGGGGAACAGTGGAGGCTGGAGTGTCTCTTGCATTTGTTGGCTGAACTCAAAGACAGTGATCTACCTGGAGACTTCTTCCTGGAGCTGCTGCAGGTACACACACACACACACACACACACACACACACACACACACAGTTTATGGTAGAACATATTTACATTACGTTTGTTATTTTTGTACATTTTTGAGACTTTGGCTGAGAAGTTTATTAATCGCAGTTTATGTTCCATCG